GTATTCCAGGGAGGTCTACTCACAGCCTCTCTTTGCATTTCTGATATGCCTCAGCATATATCTAACCTCTTCCCCTATTTTGGTCCCTACTCCCCATCTTTAGGTGGTGCAGGTCCCGAACAGACTCATTGTAAATGACCTTTCTCTGGTTTGACCCATCCCACTTGTAATTTAACCTAAATTGGATTTAACTCAGGCTGCTTTGCTAGTGGTTGAGTCTTGAAAGTTAGCAATTCTGCTGATTCTGGTTCTCAAGCTTAACATGCACTTGTCAGAAGCACCTTCCTCCATCTCTTATCCCAACCAAACTAGACTATATACGTCACACAGGTTTTGGGTTCTGGGGTAGGCATGATTGTCCCTGTTGGAGACTCCTTCAAAGAAGCATAGGATTTTTGTTGATTCTTGATAACATGAGTTGGTATGTCAAGTCCCATGTCAGCGTGGAGCAGTGACTGCTGCTTCCATTATGGAGTGAGGTATCTGGAAGTAAAAATGATTTGAAAGAATATATGCATCATGGAGGATCTCCCAGGAAGGATTTGCATGGGTAAAAAAACCCTTGAACCTGAAAGCTTGCTTAATAACTATTCTCCAACTAGTTGGGTTGGTCTAATAAAAGATATCAGATTCACCCAAGGAACCTTGTCTGCCTATGTCCTTAGACCAACACGGCTACAACCTACACCCCTTTAAAATCTCTTTGGATTCTAAATACAGAATTAAAATAATCCACTAGAGAAGCTTAATCCACCACAGTACTGAGGAAGGGAGTGGGGAACATTAATCTGGCTCTGTTCCCTTAGGCTGACAGCATCCAGGATCTGTATGTGAAAGTAGGTACTGTGTTCATGTACCCCACTCTGTTACCAGCCTTGCTTGTCCCTTTAGCATGTGTGCTCCCTCTCTGCTGGCTGAAAAAGGTGTCACTGCCACTGTGAGTCTCCCTTGGATTCCAAAGTCGCATGAATCTCCCCAAGAAAGCTTCTCAAGCAGAAAGGAGCACTGGAAGCAAGATAACAGCACTGACTAATAAACTAGGCACATCCCATTCCAATACTCAAAGCATTGTCAGCGGCTTAGGGTGCAGGGATTTTTCTGCAGCTGGTGTGCTGTTGTTACAATCCTAGGCCCCAGTTTGCCTTTAATTAAGCAGGGCCTGCTCATCCTTCTGTGTTAAATACAGGGAAACACCTCACCTAACAGCACTGTGGGTAGAGTGCTTTGCCCCCTGAAATCAGTGGGAAAGAACCTTTCTATCCTGGCATCATGCTTCCTGCCTTTATGGGCACACAGCTGTCCCCTTGAAGGAAGCTCATGTATCCACTGCAATGAAAATGCTGAAGCTTCCAGAGTGCACTTTAATGTATTCTTCAGTAAATAGCTGTAGCATCTCTTTAAATTAATGTATGCGAACATGACTCGAATTATATGCGCATAAAACTGTCATGTATTTTTAGGTCCCGACGCATGTGATGGAGTTTGGTGGATTAGTAGGATTGAGGTGGCTTAATCATTTTTAGCTACCTTGGTCAGCAACAACTAGATTAATTCTTGGGGACAGTGTGCACAGTTCCTGTGATATATACTGCAGCCATACCACCTCCTGGCCAGGATTTTTGTCAGCCCCACCTCCCCATGCTCATCAGGATTAGGCCTAATGAATCCTGGCATGGGAGATCATAAAGGACAATGCAGGGGACTGCAGGGAATTACACTGCTGATTCAGGGTTGGAGGGGAAGGGGGTGCTATCTGACTTGGTACTGATTGACTTCCCAGGGTGGTATTCAGGGACTGTTATCTGGTTGGAGGTGCGGTCTTTTTTGGATGGATGCAAGCTGGAGACTGTGATCACCTATGATGATAATTCTGTCAAAGCAAACCACATATTTTGGTGCAGTGATGTTTTATAAGTATAAAGGTCTGGGACATTGCTAGACAAGGTTCCTTGGGTGAATTTGATATCTTTTATTAGACCAACCCAAATAGTTGGAGAATAGTTATTAAGCAAGCTTTCGAGTTCAAAAACCCTTCGTCAGGCTCAGGAAGCTGCAGCAGTTGGTGTGTGCTCTTCCTGGATGGAATGAAAAGTAAACAAGCCAGGGGCTGGGCTGGGGAGTCAGTTGTCAGGCAGATTATAATGTATCAAAATCCAATGTCTATGTTTAGTCCCTGATCTCTAGTATCCAGCAGGTTGATGAAATGGAGCTCATAGGCTCGTCTCTGGGAAGTGTTGTGTAAGTTTCCCTTGAGGATCAGGACTGAGAGATTGGAGAGAGAGTGGCCCTCCTGTGAGAAATGTGCCCCCACCGGTAGTTGGGTGTTTCTGTCTTTGATGGATTTCCGGTGTGCGTTCATTCTGGTGCGCAGTTGTTGTCTGGTCTCTCCTACATATCTTCCATCAGGGCATTTGGTGCATTGGATGAGGTATACTACATTCCTGGAGGTGCAGCTGTAAGATCCTGGGATGCTGATGGCTCTGTTGTGGGGTGTAGTAATAGTGGGGGTGGTGGAGATGTGGGGGCAGGTTTTGCATTTCTTGTCATGGCACGGTCTGGATCCTTTTGGTGCGTTCTGGGCTTGAGGAAGTTTGCTTCTGGTGATGAGGTTGGCGAGGTTCGGTGCTTGTTTGAAGGCTAGGATGGGTGGCTCTGGGAAGATTTTTTTAAGAATAGGGTCTCTTTCTAGTATGGGTTGCAATTTTTTGAGGATTTTCTGTACAGGGTCAAGGGAGGGGTGATAGGTCATAACCAGGGGTGTGCGATTTGTGGGGGGGTTTCTTCTGTACTGCAGCAGTTCTTCACGTGGTATCTGGGTGGGACATTGCTATGCTTTATTCCTCTCTTCCATTTCTCTCCGCCCCAGACACCACTGTATTATTTTCTTACAAGTTATAACATGCAAACTGTTTGGAAAAGGACCAATCCCCCTTCCTAAACACTCTAGAAGCAATGGGAAGCTGGTGAGCTGGCTGTCCCTTGGGACTGGGATTGGGATACTGTCACTTAGGATACAGCCCAGGCTAGTAGAAGCTAAACTGTATCCCCATCTGACTGAGGAATCTCTGCTTAAGCCATCCCCTTGTCTAGGCATACTGCAAAGCTGTGCAAGGAACCTGCTGGAATGGCAGGGGATAATGCTCCAAGACTCTGGCTCTCATCACTGTAATAGCTGTACCCCTCACAACTGTAAATGTTTTTATCCTCACAGGGGATAAAATGGAGGCAGTGGGCTATTGCCCCCATCCTACGGGAATACCAAGGGGCTCTCCTAGGCCCATGCAAGAAGTGTGTAGTGGAGCAGAGATGAAATGAAGGTCTTTGGAGTCCAGGCGCATAACCCCACAACTTCTTGTCTGCTGGCTGTTTCCTCTTTCCTCCTCCCACACCAGTTGCTTTTTGCTGAGGTGTCTAAGGGTGCCCCTTCCCACAGCTTTATTTGGTGGGGGAAGGAGGTCTGAGGTTCTTCTTTCACACAGACGGTAAGGAAAAAGCTGGGGTGGGAGAAGAAGGGAAAATCAGTCTCTCTCTCTCTCTCTCTCTCTCTCTCTCCCCCCACCCCACCATGAAGAAGTGGTGATGAAGTGGGAAGAGGAGGGAATGATTGAATGGACCAGAAGATAAAATGAGGATAGTGAGCATAGCTGGAGGGGAGGGAAGAGAGAGAGGACTGCTGACCCAAGTTTTAAATCTGAGCAGCCAGCTGTTTTGTGCACACAGCAGCCCAGCATCTGTGAGAAGACTTTGTGCCTCTTCAGCCTGGGAGTTTGTGTGGCTGTTAACAGAATAGTGGCTAAAAGAGAATTGATAAGCTTATATTGGGACTTTCAAAAAGCCTTTGACAAAGTTTCCCTCGGGAGGCTGCGAAGGAAGCTAAGTAATCACTGGTGAAAGATAAAGTTGTGTCATGGATCTGAGGGAGAAAAGCAAACCAGGAATAAATGGTCAATTTTCAGCATTAAAGGAGGTTAATAGCTATAGTGCCCCCAGGACCTGCCCTAGGAATGGTGTCAATCAATACAGCGATTATTAAGGATCTGCAAGAGGTGAGGAGGCAAAAATGTGCAGGTGATTCTAATGTAGAGTTAGAGACTGCCAAGTGCTTCTGAAGGACCTAACAAAGCTACACAACTGGGCAACACTAGGACAGATGAAATTCACTGTAGATAAATGATAGGTAATGCATGTGGAAAGGAACAACCTGAAATAATTTGAGAACCTGTCCATGTATAAATTATCTGGAACCAGCCAGTTGGAAAGGGAATCATAGAGAACAGTCTTATACTCAAAGTTAGTACATGGAGCAAGGTGTATTAAACATAAAGAGGGTGAGGAACAATCCTGAGAAATGCAGTTTCATATTGTGTTCAGTTCTGGTTATCCCTATATCAAACAGAATAAGGTAGAAATACAGATCCAACTGGGATAACATAAATATGAGTATTTTTGTGCCGCTAGAGGGAGAAGAAGAGTTTGTGTTGTTCAGAGAAGGATTTGGAGAAGACCTGCTAGAGTGATAGTAAGCAGATCGACAGTTCCTATGCAGTACTTATCTATATGTACATACTTACATATGTATATATAGTCCCAGTCCAGGACTATGTTCACTCTGCCATGTTGCTTCCCCTTTACTAAAGGCTTTTATTACTGAACCACTTCAGGAATTGGTACTAATGGGCCTTTTGATGGCAGCCTCTGCCAGGAGGCCCAGGATTCTCTGAGTTTCAGACTTTCTGCTTCCCCCAGCCTATCTCCCTCTGGGTCCAGCATGGTGAGAGAGGGCTGCAATGCCACTGCCCTTCCCCAAACTGTTTGCTGGTAATAGGAGTGCTTCAATCTGTCTGGTGCTGGAGCCAGGTTATTTTGCCAGCGCTAACTTTACCTCACCAAAACAGGCAGCAGCTATATCTTTCTCTATGGGGTACGTGGGGTGCTTGCTTTTGCAGAAGAATCCTAGCACCTCAATTCTTACCCTGGGGGGGAATGTGTTTACCCCTCAGGATCTCCCAGAGGGTGGAGGCCAGCCGGATGCAGCTGCAGGCAATTGGTGAGAGAGTCACTCTCGCTCAGGCTAAAATTGAGAAGATAAAGGGCAGCAAGAAGGCTATTAAGGTACGAAATGCTGTTTATAGTCAGTCTTTGCAGGCTGGCTTCCCTCTCAACGGGAGTTCAGTAGCAGGACAGACCACATCACACCCCTAGTTTCTCTAGTCACAGTCCATCCACTTTGCTAGGCCTGATTACTGGATGAGATCTGTGGTTTTGCCCGCCACTTAATACAGTCGTTCCACTCTTCTCCTAGACCCCAGTCCCTACGCACAGCCCTAGTCCTGAAAGGGAAGGGCTCATTCTATAGTAACTGCTGCCCCCTCTGTGTTGAGTTCCCCTCCTGCTTTGTCTCCATTACCCTTCATCCTTTACATCTTTCTCACTTGGATGGGGTGACAGCTGCAGTGTCTTGTCTTCAAACCCTGCTCATTCCTTTGATGAATGAGTGATGAAGTGGCCCTCCACCCAAAATAATTGCCCACCCCTGGTATAGAACCCATATGAATGTGGCTGGCTCTGCCTGTGTCCACAGAGAGGCTACCTTTGGGTTTGAGTACCTGGAAAATAAGGCACCACTTAGCACAGGAGCTGTCAGTGGTGTCTCATTGCTCCCATTCAGCTCTACTGTGATGGGTGGGGGGTGTGTGTATGCACAGACATATATTTCTGGATACAGTCTTACTCTTCTATTGGTGTTTCCCCACAGGTGTTTTCCAGTGCCAAGTACCCTGCTCCAGAGCGGCTACAGGAATACAGCTCTATTTTTGCTGGCGCAGAGGATCCAGCCAAGCAGAAAGGGCAGAAACACAAGGTTCAGAGCAAGCACAGAGTGCTGGATGAGAAGTGCCTGCAGGTATGAGACTCGGGGATAGGGCCGATAGGCAAGTGGGTCTGCAGGGGAGGCAGCTCAGGGGGATTGAAGTCTCTGGCTGATGGCATATGGGGCTATAGGATAAAAAGGGTGAGCCTTTGGGAGGTGGGAACAAACCTAGACATCTAGTCTGTTCTGCTCCCCACCACAAATGCAAATTGATGGGTACATGTGAAAGACTTCCCTGGCTCCTCAGCTGTGGGTGGGTAGATTCAATAGAAGCCTGTGTGATGGGTTTCCTTTTCAGGTCTCTGGAGTTCAGAGAGGGATCACGTTGCTCACCTTGCAGCCTATGTTTTCATTTCCTCTCAGTGCATGTTGTAGGGGTTTTCCCCTGTAGTAGGTGATGAGCCATTAGCAGTTACTGCTGGTTCTCTTGTGATGCAGGAAGGAGTCAGGACAGCTGGAATCTGGTGAGGTAGGAGTCAGGGTCCTTCCAGAAGTGCTTTATCAGGTCATAGGTCTTTGTCCTTCATTCCTTGTTTGTGAAAAGGAAAGGGGGCAAGTGCAGTGTGTGTGAGTGTGTTGTAAGGGGAGGGGCTTTCTTCTCTGGAGTGGCAGCATGGTCTAGTAATGAGGATGCTGGACTGGACACCAGGAGGTGCGGGTTCTGTTTCCAGTTTGCCCACTGGCTTTGTTCAGTGACCTTGGGCATATCGCCATCACTTCTGTGCCCTTGTTGTGCTTCATACCTGTGGCTGTTAAGACTCTCTAAGCTTTTCACACACTCTCACTATGTGTTTGTGCATCACCATCAGAATAGGAACCTCAGGTTCATCAGGGGTTTCCAGGCACTCCTGTAATGCAAAGCAACCATGCTAGTAAAGGCTAAGCCTGGATATGTAGCTGCTGGGGAATGCACCACATGCATGATGCTGGGAATTGTGGTGTCTCCTTTTGGTTGGGGGAGGGGGGTAACAACAGCTTCTGTCTTCTCCTTCCTCCATCTTGGCCCAAAATGAATACTGCCCCTGAATAATTCAGTGCCGTAAGGCTTCCTGGATTTTAATGGAACCAAAGCCTCTCCTAGTGAAGCTGCATGAATATTTCAGAGACCAGGGAAGCAAAGCTGCTGCCTGTGAGGACAGCTGCTGAAACACCTGAACTTAGGAACTTAGGCCCCTATTGTAGTTTTGGAGGTGTTTGCCTGGGACCTATCAATGGCCCGTCAACAGCGTTCCCTCTAAACTGCGTGTGTGCGCGACCACGCAATAACTTTTTAATGCCATGCACACAGTGGTGTACCGATGGGGGGGGCAGTAGGGGGCCAGCCTGGAGGGGGATGCCCAGTGCCGTAGCAAGGGGGCATCAATGCTCCCCCTGCTGCCACCACTGGCTTAGTGTCTGGCCGCTCGCCCCCCAGCCACAGGCTGCTGCAGGAGGGGGAAGGGACGGGCACACTGAGATACCCGCGCACTCCCAGCCAGGACTGCTCACAGATCGCTAAACTTTAGAGGGAACATTGCTCGCGAAAGCAGGCTGCTTGAGTCAGGCTGGCTGCCAGGCCTCCTGTCAGAGAGCACTCTCTAGAGAGTGGTATCTTGATAAGGAACAGGTTTGATTTCTTTTCCCTCCATCTCTCCCATGCTTAATCTTGAGTCTAGTGTAGGCCCGAGTGAAGAGGGCATGTCCCACGTGAGCTGGGGAGGAGCACTCCTTGTTTGCAGTACACACCACTTGCCATTGGCAACACGTAGGGGGTGCACGCGGGTGCATGTGCACCCCCTGAGATCAGCCGTGCACCCGCTGGAAGCACCAGCTGTGCAACTATCAGTGCCACTGGATGTGCACTACCAGTTTCACTGCTGGCTCCGGTGATCGGCTAATGGGGACACCCCCTGCCCCTGTTGGCAACCTGGTGCCCCCCCAGACTCAGGAGGCACCAGTCACCCATGCCACTTGCCACTTCCAATGGGCTCTATTTCCCTGTGACCCTGTAGGTATGTTCAGCTGTGATGGCAGCTGCTTCCTTGCTGCCCCTGACAGCTCTCTGTAGTAGCTTCATTTTCTCCTCTATGCTGCTTGTTTTCTATAACACTTAGTCCTCATTCAGTGCGCAGGATGGACATGCCAGGCAGACTGAACAAACTTGTTGACATTTCTGACCTTTTAAGTGCTTGACTTGGCAACTTTAATATTACCTTGTTTTCTTTCTCTTTCTCTCTCTCTCTCTCGTATCAAAATTATTTAGACTCCCTAAAGTGTTTCTGAATAGACGATATTAATGAAACTTGGTAATTGGAGGGTGACAAATGAAGTCTTACCATGTGTTAAAATATATTTTAGCCTGTGGCTGTTGAGAGAATAAAAGAAACGACAAATTTAAAGAGCTGATTCTGCCAGGTGCTGAAGAGCCTATTCTGATGGGTGTTGGGTGCCTTTTGACTTCAGTTGATTTTCAGTATACTGAGGATGTGAAATTAGGGCTTTCAAATGGTTGCAAGGAAACCCATTTTTACACCTCACATGTTTTAACTAGTGGAACTCTCAGTGGCAAGATATTGCTGAGGCAGCTGATGATATCGATTTCAAGACAGGATTAGGAGTTGCATAAGGAATGCCATTTGCAGTTATTTCAGGTAGCATAAAAATAAGAGAACTATAGAAAGCCTCATACTGGAGGGAAATAGTTATGCTTAGGATTTTTATAACTGCCTTAGAAGATTAGCTTTTAAAAAGTAAATGTGAGTAATGGTTGATTTCTCACTCCACCCAAAAGTGACACATGCTTCCAGTGCTAATTGAAAGTTGCAAAGAGAATTTTAAAAAAATATACATGGCTCGAGGGTTGAGAATGTATGAGAGCAATTCTAGCAAAGACATCAGTACTCCATGATGCTTAAAAATTAAATATTAGGCAATGAATATTAATGTGCAAAAGGACCTTTATTTCTGACTCTCTTGACTCCCTACTTCTGTAGTCACTAAATACATTTCAGATTTTTTCTATGCTGCTAATGCCAAAGTGCCAGATGTTTATTTCAGTGTATGGTGTGTGTGTGTCTGAGTGTGTTCCACAAGTCATAACTCATAAAAAAGAAATAAAATTCAAAACCTAGCAGGCTTGTTCTTTAGGCACTTTACAACTTCAGAGCATCCTTAACCTTCAACTCTTAATGAACTAATAGAGCTGAGGAAGCCATTTCCCAGCATTTGTGGCCACCAAATATCAGGCCTGAAACTTCATTACACACAGACCGTGATTGCAGGTGTAAATCATTTCTGCAAACTTGGCATTGAATCTTTATCTTGAAAGCATAATTGATTGCGTCACTGAGAGGGTTCAACAAGGGAGCAAAGAGTGTGATTGTGGGGTGGGAGGGGATGTTTCAGGCAAATTGAACATTGTGGGGGGAGGGGGAAATTGAACATTGTCACCGCTGGTCACTTTTTTTTTTTCCCACTGGTCAAAACTTTAATCTGACAGAACAGCTGGATGAATGAACAGTTCCTTTCCAGTGTGAGGATAGATTTCCCCACCCCATGAGAAAAGGGTTAGCTCATTTCAGACAGGAGAAACTGACACAGGAGTTGAATGAGCTGGCCAAGGAGAGGAGTCAGAACCAGACACAGGAGAAGTGTTTGGCCTGGTAGGTGGCACTGCCTCCAAATGGTCCTCAGTGGGTTTAGGAAGCATCTTCTCTCTGCATCTTCTCTCTTTGGTGTGCCCAGAAGAGTTCAGTCCATCAGGGGGCTATTGCATTGTCTTGCAAAGCATTGGGTGCAGGCTGCTGCCAGGCTAGGAGGCTTGCTGGTCTGATCTGGGCTGGCCAGCAGAGTGCATGCTGTAAAAGTTCAGATGAAATAACTCCCTCTGTATCAGGAGTTTTATATATTATACATGAAGCTTTAGAGCTGAGAGAGAGAAGATTTCGGTTCATTAGAGTTGAAAACTCCTGCAAATCCCTCAGGCTTTGCAAAACCATCTGGCACAGGCTCTTCCCAGCCTGCTCCTTCCCCTGCCCGCTCCCTCACCTGGTTTCAGCACGCTTTCCTCCCCCCATTCCCAACCAAGGCCAGTGAAGGCAGTAGGACTGACAGGGTAGTGACAGAGAGAGTCTCTGTTACATATTGGTGTCATCACACCAGCAACATGGAGATGCACCACTACTGCCCTGGCTGTAGAGAACGGTGTAGTGTAGAGATGTCACACGCACACAGCCTGTGGGCAGGATCTGGCCCACAGAGTCATTCTATCCATCCCACCAGCCATGGAGTTCTGGGGGTGGCCAGCAGTGACTTGAAATGACAGCCACAGCATGTGGCTTGGGGGCTGAGCCATTCCAGGGTCATGCTTTGCCAACTGGTCTCTGTCCTTTTTCAGGAGAAGCTGAAGTACTTCCCAGTGTGTGCAAGCACCACAGTGCACCAGGAGGATGATGCAGAAGAAGGCCTTGGCAGCCTCCCCAGGAACATCAGCTCCCTTAGCTCCCTGCTGCTGTTCAACACCACGGAAAACCTGTGAGTATCCATGCCACATGTGGCAGTGTGGCAGCTGCTGCTCTGGGATGTTCTCATCCCAGGGGGTCACTGATCACATGCTGCTCTGAAAAGGAAGTGTTTGCTACTGTCATCTTCTGACCAGTCACCTGGCCCCTATATTCAGCTCCCCTGACTTTTCTGCCTTCAGATTGTACTGAGCCTTTTCCGTCCTTTTATTCTGTTGGCGTCATTGTTTGTTCTCTTGTTCTTTGTTTCACTAGCTCTCCAGCTACATCCCCATCTCCCTCTAAGCTCACTGAATGGACAGAGTCACACCCTTGCAATCCCTTCCCTGTTTCTCCCTGATGCCTTCTTCTGGCCAAGTCTAAGGGTCTCTGCTGGATGCCCGTCCTTTGATCTCTCTGCTGCTTTCAGCAGTCATTCCTTTCTCCTGATTGCTCCTCTCCTCCTTACATTTTTTGATATTTTTTTTTCCTGTCCCGCTTTTCTTCCTGCCTTTCAAACAGTGTTTCCAGCAGATGCTGATGCCCTGCTCCAGATACTGCTATACCCACCATCCTCATGCCACAAATGGGGAGAGAAACTTGTGGGGGGTTCTGGCAGTAGTGATAGGATACAGAGTCTGCAGCCCTGGTGGGGAAATGCCGCCTCCTGGCAGTGGAGGCGAAGGAGAAGTGGGCTCAAGCACTGGGTGTGACTGGGTGTGGTGTTTAATTGATTTCAAACATGATAAAGCCAATCTCTACCAAAGCCTTGTCCCAGCTTCTGGGCTGAAGGACTTCATTTGGTTCTTGCCTTTGAGCTGAAATCGCTAGGATTTTCTCCATTCCCAGGTATAAGAAGTATGTCTTCCTGGACCCTCTGGCAGGAGCGGTGACCAAGACCCATGTTGCTCTGGAAACTGAAATGGAGGAGAAGCTCTTTGATGCACCTCTGTCTATTACCAAAAGAGGGCAGTTGGATCAACAGGTGAGATGCAGAGAGAGGGAGTTACAAAAGCAGAAACTGGTGCAGGAATGACCCAGATGGCAGATCTCGAAGGTTGGGAGGTTCCTGGTGGACAGTGGAACATTTTGTTCGCCTTAATAACCTCACTCAGATGTCAATGTGTAAAGACCTTGCTGGTCTTGATTGATGACACAACACAATTAATCCTTGAAGGCTGTGTCTACAGGCTCTAGATCAGTGGTTCTCAAACTTTTTAGGCTCAAGGCAGCATCCCTTGGAAAGTGTCAGCTCTTAGTTTCACTCAATATTTGACTACAGAAAAAAAATAGAGCAATGCTTCTATTGCAGAGAGCTCAGAAAGACCATAACAGGTCAGAATGGTTTTACTACTATGGATTCCTATTTGAAATTTCTGAGATTACCCTAATGATCATGTTTGCACATCTCAGAGTGATAACATTCAATGGCACCCCTAAAAGGGTCTCAAAGCACCCCAGGGTGCCATGGCACCCTGGTTGAGAATTACTGCTCCAGATTGTGTGGGGGTAGAGCAGTGTACAGTGTCTCTGTACCTTTTCCCATATTACATCTCCTGCACTTGCCTGTCTCCTCTCAGCCTGACCTGTGGAAGGGTTTGGTTAGTAGGCATGGTAAAGAAGCACCATTTTTCTACAGGACAGATGCCAGTGGTGGTCATGGAGTTTGGTGGTTTTGATTGTACCCACGAATAGGACAGGACTTTGGCTGTTGTGGGTCATCATTTCATGAGCTGGCTAGTCATCAGTCTACTAGGCTAGGCAGGATCAGAATCTCTAGTATAAACAATGAATATGGGGGATCAAGAGCCCTTGGTGTGGTGGAAGGGAACCCACAAGCCTTTCTTCAGGTCCTTGTCCACCAGAAGGAAGCCCAGAAGGGCACAAGCCCACTTTTCCTCTGCAGACATTCTTCAGTAGAGAAGCCCAGTGTCACCTTAGGGTGGACGTGTAGCTATGTGAATGGATAAAGTGCTGGTGTGCCCAGCGGTAGGGCTTCGGTGAAAATGAGATTTGCCAAAACAGCTCTACAGCCCCTGGCAGCTCTGCATGCTGAGTCCCTCGTGTCAGTCACTGGCCTCCTTAAGGGAAGAGCGACTCTAGCTACCCAGCTCTTACCCTGTGTCTTTCAGGTAGCTGAAAATTACTTCTATGTCCCTGATCTGGGGCAAGTGCCTGAGATAGATGTGCCTTCCTACCTGCCTGATCTGCCCGGCATTGCAGCTGATCTCATGTACAGTGCAGACCTGGGGCCTGGCATCGCACCCTCAGCCCCCAGCAGCGCAATCCCAGAGCTACCCACCTTCAGTACAGAGTCAGCAGGGGCTTTCCAGCCAGGTATTTGTGCTCCTTTATCCCGGAGTGTGTCTGGGGGGGACCTGGGGGGGCACAGGGATGCGGAGATAGAGGGGACTTGCAGAGTTCTCAGTGGAAAGGAGCAACGAGCAAATTGGGGATAGGAACGTACCTCAGGCCTCAGTACAAGCTCTGGAAGAGGGCACTGACTTCTTTCTAGTACTGCACTGTGGGGAAGAACTGGAGTCCCTTGTTAAAGAGGCTCCAGCTGGATTTAGCTGCAAGGGTTTTTGACTTCCCTATGCAACATCAAGTGTTTGGGCCAAGCCCTGTGATTTGCTCACCAAGGCTGAGCAGGCCTCCTTGCCTTTAACTGCATGGCCTGATGCACAGAATAGTAGCCCAGTTTTCTGGCACTGTCGGCACGGGAGGTGCTTGCAGGGGCTTGTGTTTCACCAGAACCTGAGGTTGGTCTTGCTGAGAAACTCTGTGCTCTGCTCACTGAGAACAGCAGACATGGAAATGGCTGGTCTTGGCTTTCCCCATTGCAAGAATAGAACTGATCCTGCCTAATCTTGGCAGAGGGCATTCATTTGCCCTTCCAAATGCTGAGGATTGTTACTCTTGTTACCACCAAGCTCTGTGGTGTGAGGAGGACTCAGACTGTGGGCAGTGAATTAAGGGTTGAATGTCCCTTTGTGACTCTTTGTCTTTTCAGGTCTCCCGGATGGTGTGCTTATGCCCCCACCCCCGCCTCCTCCCCCGCCTCCTCCCCCACCTCCGGTTATGCCAGCTACTGCACCCCCTCCGCCTCCTCTGCCCCAGCCTGCAGCCCTTTCCAAATCACCCAAGGCAGCAAATGAGGAAAGCAGCAGTGCAGTGCCTGCAGGTAAGGAGAGAGGCATCTGGGACAAATTTTCCTGTGGTTTTCCCTGGCTAGGAGTTTCTCTCTTCAGTTCCTCATTCTGTAAACAGGAGATGCTGCTCCATACAGGCATGGGCTACCTGCAGCCTGTGGCTTAGTCCAAACAGCCCCAAAAGAGCAGGCTGAGTTGCACGTTGCAGCTGATGGAGGATAGTTTCTGACCAGCTTGGGATCAGAAGCCCTGGGCTCTTATGACATGGGTGGCATCCATTCCTGTAGTCAGACACCTTCTTCTCTTCCTCTTGCTGCAGCTGCAGTCCAGGGGGCTCCAAAGGAAGTTGTGAACCCTTCAACTGGCCGAGCCACTCTTCTGGAGTCCATCCGTCAGGCTGGGGGCATTGGAAAAGCCAATCTACGGAGTGTCAAGGAGAGAAAGCTGGAGAAGAAGAAGCAGAAGGAGCAAGAGCAAGGTACCTGGGTGCCTGCACATGGGTAGGGGCCCTCGCTTCCCCTCCCCAGGTAGATATTCATGGAGGCATCAGGGGTACAAAAGTGAAAGGAACCTCTGCAAACACTGAGACAAAAGCCATGTGCCAGGTATCCCATGCTCCCAATAGCCTGTAGGAACTCAAAGCAGAGGGACTGCAGCTCTCGGGAGTCTGTTTTACATTTGGATGCAGCTCTGTGAACTTGTTAACCCCTCGCTTGTAGAAGTGCATTAGAGCTCCAGAGTGGGGATTCTCCCTTTGACAGCAGCAGTTGAAGAGTTTCACATGAACTTCCATTGAAGGTAGTTCAGGGCTGGCTGCCTCAGGAGGCTAGTAGAGGTGCTAAGACATGAGAGGGTTGTGTTCAGTGGACTGACTTGCTCCAGTTCCAGCCAACCTGCTCAAATACTAGCATTTTCTTCCCTTTGAGCTGCTCCACGCTGGTTTTCCTGGAAGGGCTGGGGTGCTGAGACCTTGTACCCTGACTGAAACGAGGGGCAAAGATTTCATCTGAAAGCAGTACTGCTAATGGCAGGATCCCAGTGCAAGGTTAGTCCTGGTCTTTATCATGTCCTGCTATTCTGCCAGGCAGCTCAAATGTACCCTACAGCACCATACTATATTCCAGTTCACTGGATGAGGCAGATAAAGGGTGGGAGACTCTGATCCAGGCAGAGGACATCATGTGCAAGCTTTATAACTTGCCATTAGTCCCTTAGACATAGCACGTACCAGAAGTAGCAGAGCAAGGGTTCAGTCTCCCTAGCCTCATCCATGGGGTTTTTTGCTCTGTTTCAGTGAGAGCTACGGGTCAAGGTGGGGACTTGATGTCAGACCTCTTCAACAAACTGGTGCTGAGGCGAAAAGGTACTGTACCATGGGAGAAGGGGGGGGGGGGGGGAAATGGTATTTTTCCTACCTCTGGAAAGGGGCAATGGGCTGATTTCACTAGTCTTAATGCAGCAGCAATGACTGAGTGGCTACTGTAGCAGTTAAAATGGAGGGATGACTTAGTACTTAGTTCAGCTGGCCATTTAGATGAATGTTTTTGTGCCAATCAGTGCGTCTGTGGGCCAGACTGCGGGGAGGGGGTTGCTTTAGCAGAGCACAGGGAAATGTACTGTTTCTGACTGCAGTGTTTCCCCTACATCAGGCTGCTGCTGCTGCAGTGGGATGCTGTGGTGTGTGTTAGGTCTGAGCATTGGTTGCATAGATTGTATTGAACACTCAAAGGGGGAGCACTGCTGTCCCTGCTCTTTACAAAAAGGAGGGGCTGAGCAGAGGGTTTAAGGTCTCTCCAGGAGAGGACTCTAATATAGGAGGAAGCATTTTGGAGTTGCCTGTTCCTAGAGCTGGGGCTGTTCTGCAAATTGCAGGCAAGAACTGCCACTTCACCCAGGGGCTTGCTAAATGAGTCTATCTGCTCCAGCACAGCTGGGTTAATTTTGTTTGCACTTCTGTTCACCTGGGTCACTCAGGTGATGAGGCAGCAGTAGTTCTGTGTACTACAGGGTACAGAGATGCTCTGGCTCTCATCCTCTTAGCTCAGTTAAACCTCTTGTGTCACTTATGTTGCTGTTCCTCCTCCCCAGGCATTTCAGGTAAGGGGCCAGCAGCTGCAGGTAATGCTGATGCTCCAGGGGGCCCTGCCGGTGCCTTTGCACGTGTGTCGGACACGATACCACCCCTCCCACCCCCACAGCAGCCTCCTGGTGAGGATGAAGATGACTGGGAGTCATAAATGGTGCCAGCCTCAGGCCCTGGATTGATTTCCCGTTACTCGTCAGTGAATCCGCCACTGCTGAGCTAAGCACCTCAGATGGACCAGCTTGTGGAAATATCCTCTGGAGGGTGGGCACTGGATTGGCAGAGGGACCCTGTCATTTCTTCTTAGTTCCTGCTGTTCCAGCTCATCTCTAACCCTTGCTGAATATAGTTATCAATGAGTGTTACTTCTGCTGTTTGCGTTCCCCACCCCAAATCATACATTTGATCTCAGCCATTGCTGCTGCTCAATAAACCCTGCTGTAGCTTGAGGGCTGTCGTGCTGCTGATGCTCAAGAAGCAGAATGAGCATCTCTCCCTATTAAGGGGCCTTCAGTCTTTCTGAATGTGATACATGCCAATTTGCTGCAAGAGCTGTGCTTGCAAAACAGCCCTTGCCTCTCCGTGCCCCTTGCTGACAGCTGATTGTTTGCCTGGATGCTCTTGCGTGCGAGTTCTGGGAATAGATGGGAATGTGTGGGATTTGAAACCACCCAGTCCTAAAGTGGGTCAAATAGAAAGCAGCAGCACTGAAGTAGCTACTATGAAACCAACTAACTGCAGTGGAGCTATGGCTGTTCTTTCTTATTAGTACAAATGGTTTCTACATGCATCATACCATAACTCCAGGAACAAATGCACAGCAGCCTCTTCTCCATCCTACTTGAGGAGATGAGTGGAGTGCTCATAATTAATATCTCCAGGGAAAGCCCAGCTGTCCACCATTAGTCTCTGGCAGAGCTAGTGAACAGCATGCATTTTCTAGACTAGTCTAGCCAAGGCAGAGACTGGAGGTGCTAAGTGGGCCAGGTACTGTACACCTGAGGGTTTTCTCAGAGCTTAGGCAAGAGCCTGAAAGCTGGACTAGGGGTAGAAAAGGATGAAGCAGCTACAGCAAAGTGTCTACAGATAACTTTTAATAAGCAGCTGTTTCTCCCCCTGGGGCTAGTTAGATGGGACCTAGAGTTCCTCACAGTACTGGCTCATTGTCTAATCTTCACTTTGTGCCCACTTCAGAGCTGGGTTTGCCTGAACACTGTGCTGTAGGAGAAGGTAGAGTCCAGCTCCAGAAAAACCAAGCATATAAAAAGATTTAATACACTTGTGTAAGCCTGAAGAAGGGGGTATTCTCTTTCTCTCTATAGAAGGGCAAGAGTAGTGCAAGGGCTTCCTCACCTCTGAACTCTTCTGTGAGCTACAGGATGACAGGTGTGGGTTTTCTTAGCCGCAACCCTCTGTACTGCCTCTGACTGTTCATAACAAAGCTAAGAGGGGGCAGCCCCTTCCTTTTCTCTTCATTTATTCTGGTGTGCAAATACAGAAAGGGGTTTAAACTAAATTTACCCTCTCTTCTTTGTCATGTTTGAGCTACCCTTTCTCATCTATAAGCTGCATGAATGTGGTTTGCAGGAAAGGCAGAGGTAAAGTTGAACAGCTGGAGGGGCTGCTTGCAGAGAAAGTAGTGTGATCAAAGGAAAACAAAATAAATGATGCAGTGTTTTCTGACTGCCTGATGTACTCAGTCCATAAAGCAGAGCTCACTTACTCCCTTGTGGAATAGCGAGGCAGGCCTAGAGCTATGCTTCGGCTCTACACTTTGTCCACACTAGCTTGAAGGTACTGTACTCAGACGGTGAGCGCTTTACACCTACCCTGCAAGAGCAAAGTGACGATGGCTAGCTGTGACTAAACAATTGTGTAATCTAGAAAAGATGCTCCTTCAGCTAGCAAACAATGCAGTAGAGCCAGGTGCCAGCCATGCTTGGACTTTTTTAGGTTCCAGGATTTCTAACCACTCTCCGTTTCAACATTAGCATATGCAGAATGATTTGGAGCCAGAACTCTAGCTTTCTAGTTGTGCCCTTTAGTAATAAGGGCCCAGTCTTTCCAGTTCCCCACCTCCCTTTACTCTCCGTAACAGCTGAGGGCTCTATCAAGGCTCAGCATTATTAACAGTGATACCAGAGAATGTTGCTTTTCTCTAGGATTCATTAAAAGCAGTTCCTCTAGGGATAAAGCTAATAGTCAAAAGTGCTTAAAAAGCAGAGATGGCAAAGTTATTTTCTTGCTGTTCAGTTGCTCAGTGTCCCTTGTCGATTATAAACGTGCAGCTGTATGCAACTTCCCGTCATAAGCTGCTAAGTTACACACTGCATTCACCAGCATAAGCACCTATGAGTGGACTGGTTAGCTAGTTACATACTCTCTCAAGCCCCTCTCCTGGTCACTAGCAGGACCTCCACATTTCATGTAAAGTGTATCTTTACTCTTCCCCAACCTCAGTGCTGGAAAGAGGAGGGGGTA